GGGGGGGGGGAGAGAAGGGGAATTCCCTACAATGTGCTATACAGGGATTCTTAAAATTTAAAAAGGTCAAGCCACCTTTACAGGCTTAAAGTATGGCAATGGGATTGGGATTCATGCTGTAAAGTACCAAGGAGAATACAAAAAAAAAGACAGGAACTAATGAAAGTACCACATACTAGGTAATAAAGTAGAGGGAATTCAAGCACCTTGCAAAAAAACTACCCTAAAGTACCTCCTTTGTCTCAACAAGATGTGTGACTAGGAAAGTAAAGTCATAAAGCTGAGAGGACCATAACTGCTGCCTCTCATTCCTGTTTCCTACAACATTTAAGGTGGCTAGGAGGTTTTTCCTTAATGCAATTCCAGTTCTTTACAGGTATCCCTCCCACACCAGAATTTTTTCAGATTTTCTGACACTTCAATAGACTAGCCATTTATACCCTGTCATGGAGAGAGTCACCATAAGGATTAATCTTGCCCAGTAACACAACACAAGAACCATACCAGATCTGTAACCCAGACCTGTCTTTCCATGAATTAAAGTGCTAACTAAAAGCTAAGCCACTATGCCACCTCCTATTTCTAATATTTCCACCTTTGGCTTTACATACATATAGTATCAAAGATTAAATAAATGTTTTAAATTTTACTTATGTGGTAGAGTGGAGTTACAATATCTTGGACCCTTTCTATCTCAAGCTTCCTATTATTGTCAACTCCCACTGCCTCCCCAGGTTCAGACTTGAGATAATGTACTATCTTTGTATATCAGACCTCTAAAATCTTAACCCCACTGTCCTCAATTCTTGTACAGTTTGAGAAAGCAAGAGCCCACCCTGCCATAACTGATCAATAATTGAAATCTAAGAACTATTTTTTCACCAGCAGTATAACATTCTCACACAGTGTTGCCACACAAGCCTTGTTAACAACCTTCCCTCCCACCCGTTCACATCACTAGCTAGATTTTTGTGCAACTTCTTTGAATGTATAGTGGGGCTATTATCATAAAAAGTGTTTAAAAAAACACAACAACATAGCAAATGACAATCCTTTTAGATCAGGATCAAATACCCACCCTGTTGGTTTGGTATCTGGTGGAGCCTGGCTAGCTTTTTGGTCATAAAACAAGAGGTTGGAATCCTGCATAATGAACCTGTAAGCCACAAAGGCAAATTAAAAGATTTTCAACCACCAAGGAGTGGTAAGAGTATTCATAGTAAAATATATCACTGAAGGATGAAAAGTTGGCTATGTTGACAAAAAACCTGCATTAATTATATTTAAATGGCAGCAAATCAAATTGAAATATTTGAAAAAAACTGGTTTAATATTACCTTAAAATAATTATTTCTACTAAGAGTAAGCAAAGTTACTGTTCTCTGGGGTGTCTAACTACTGATTTTAAGTAACTTAACTGCTCTCTAAAATAAAAAACAAATTATTCCACTAATGAAACTTCTGCTAGGGAGATTGTTTGTATATCCTTTTATTGATAGTCCAGATTTACAGGGACTTTATATGGGGGTATGCTTAAAAATCAAGTTTAACTGAATTTTTAGTGAGATTACATGATTGTTGAAAGACTTACCAGTGTCTGTCCCCTTTATCTTGTTCTTTTAGCTTGGAAAGCCCTAATAT